AATAGGGCAAGGAACGTGAAAGGAAGCTACAAGCCATTATCATCTCAGCATTACTCAATCGACCACCAAAAACCACTTCGAAATCTACCGAATCGTATATTTGAAAAGAAGCCACCCCGACAACAAGTGAAACATACGGACGAGCCACAAACTCGCTCTCATCATCAAAAACATCCATCAAAGGCCCACGAATGCGCGCCCTATACCACCTGGCAGCTTGGCGCTCTCCCCCTCCCCGAGCTCAAAATCCGTCGGTCTGAGGGCAAGTCTAGGAAATCGCTCATATAAGAACATCTGAAGGAAGGAAGTCGATACGTAGCTAATAACATCATACCGACCCTTCGACTTCTCCGCCCCAACCTGATACATATCCAGCCACCTGTATATAGTCTCCAAAAACAGTGGCCCAAGTGCCACCGAAAGACCAATAGCCAGATAAGTGGCAATATCAAATACGGATGAGTCTATGCCATCCTTGGGCAACCCCTCCAAGATATACCGACTCAACCAGTATGAAAGAAAAGCAACAAGGTAGGTGGAACTATGCTTATACTTCTCATATCTGGGCCCATCTACCCCCTCTTCCCCTACCTCAGTTCCTTCCTTCAGAGATAGGTTCAAGTCCCGATACCAATATCGTAACCACCCCCAAAAAGTATTCTTACAATGTTCCCGACGCTATGGGCCAAAAACTCCCCTCCTTTGTCATAGCCGCTCTATAAGAATCCCGCTTCCGAAACCGCAGGGGGGAGGGGAGCTCCACGATGAGTCGGGGTTGTATGCCTAGCCTAAGTCGGGGGCATGCACACCACCAAGTATGAAAACAAGGTCACAACTCACTTTGAGAGAGCTAGCTCACCTAGAATTCTCCACGACCCTTCATTACTCAAGAAATATATTCTCTACCCACTAACCCCAGCTCTATAGCAACATAGTTGGACTCTTGGCTCACCTATGTTTACTTAGCTGCTTAGGATAAGCCCTTGGCTCACCCATGCACTCACCCTCTTGGTTGCCTAGGTGGGGAGCAGGACCTAGGCACTCCCGCTTAGGATCATTTAAGGATTATGGATCGGAGCCCAAGCAACCTCAAGACAGGTGGAGAGTTATCCTCGACTCGACAGGAGGGTAATATTAGCCCTACTAGCTATTTCCTATGATTCAGGTTCTTGGGAAGGTTGCATCATTGGAGCTGCAGCTGTAGGTATGATATCTTGAGAGTCGTCTCATATGTGCATCAAATGCAAGTGTAAGGTAAATGTCCCTTTCTCTAAGCCAGGTCAAAGGGGGAGCTGTCACTGCAGGGAGACGGCTACACGACCTTGACGATCCCGAGGTCTTAGCCTCTAATCCACAATCCTCCAATGATCCTAAGCGGGAGTGCCTAGGTCCTGGTCCTAACCTAGGCAACCAAGAGGGTGAGTACATGGGTGAGCCAAAGGCTCATTTTGAGCAGCTAAGTAAACATAGGTGAGCCAAGAGTCCAACTATGTTGCTGTGGAGCGAGGTTGAGTGTGGGTAGAGAATATATTTCTTGAGTTATGAAGGGCCATGGAAAACTTAGGTGAGCCAGCTCTATCAAAGTGAGTTGTGGCCTTGTTTTCATACTTGGTGGTATGCATGCCCCCACTTAGGCTAGGCATACAACCCTAACTCATCGTGGTGCCTTAGGGGTCTGCCACGTGGATGTGTGCTGGTGATGACGTGACACTCGTAGGGCTCGCCACATGCCAAGCATAATATAGATACCCACACCACTCAATGTCCAAATGTACAAATGGTGAGCTCGTAATGAACTCCATGCGGAACAAGAGTATTTGTATTGTAGTCCAAAAGAACCACAAAATAAATGGTGAATATGAAAATAGTAAGTTATAGAAGTTATTCACAACAGGCAGTGGCGAAGCCAGAAAATTTATTCAAGAGGGGCAGCACCACCTCTTATCGCATTTTTTTGTAGCTGATAACACGAAGAAATGCAACAATTTAAGTACATACTCAATAGGTATAATGCACACGATCACTACAGTCATAGCATTCTAGTTGTAATCAAAATCAGTCACTAAAATACACCATTCAATGGTCAACAAAAAAAAAATCTTTAAATTTAAAGTACAACTCCTCCCATGAATTGATAGCTGAAGCTAAGCATGTAAATTTTACTAAATATATCTCAAGTGTCAAAAACATTAAAAGATGCTATGTATACTCTATTCACAAGTGTAATAAATTATTTTTTCGTAGCACCTAAAACTCACCAATTTCAATATAGGATACTCTGAATGCAGAGAAAATATATAATGAGTTTTTCAACTTTTGTTGTCACCAGGTCCACGATGTCAAGAAACAATCATTGCAAATTCACAAGCTACCCTAAACCAAAATAGTTCAAAATATTTATACCAAAAATTTACAGACATCCACTTAACTCAGAGTCTTGTAGACACTTCATATCAGTAAGTTGATTGAAGATCAATCAACATTTGGACAGGTAAGGAGCTTTATGATCAACTGAAAAGATTGAGGCCTTGTCATGTGCCTTCAGAAGGCCATCTTTTCAATTAAAGAGATCACTTTCCCATGAAAGAGTTCATTGTGAGCTTTATGGAAAGTAATGGTCATTAACAGAAAACATCAAATTCTTAGCACCTTAACAATGAGACAGGTTGCCTAGAAGAGAACAATCAACAATGCAAGAAAAGAGCACAAGTCGCACAATATCTGGAAATCTCAAATATTTGTAAACAAAAATTTAAAACAATTACACTCAGTTTAGTCCCCATTTGATTGGGGTTTGGGAGGGGTAGATTAGGTATAGGCCTAATCTTCGATGTAATTTGCACAAAATGGCTGCCTTCAGGTTCAACCCACAACGTCAAAAAAAAAAAATTACAAAGTAAAAAAATTACCCGGAGTATTTAACAAGTCATACAAATGGGTAGGCAAGTCATCGAGCACTCTTCTATATACCAACCAAATTGGTATCCAATAAATTCTTTGTATGAAGAAGAAAAGAGCCTACATATAACCAGCAAAATTGTTCTCAACAGTCATCTTTCATAACATCTTAGATTGACATTGTTGAGGGCTTGCTTCATAAAGCTTAAAATTTCACATAGCCGGTTTCTAAAGCTTTCAGGATCTGGAACACAATCTACAGAAGTTCAACTTATGCATACATGCTTAATCTAAATTGCCTTCAAACCCTAGACCTTATTAGGGCTCAACTTGAGTATTTTGGCAACTCTAAGAGATGCTGGGTGTAATGGTTTTACCCTCTCTATAATGAACTTATTTTCTTATCAACAGCTCTCTATAATGAACTCAATACAAAAAAGTCTGTCATGGGCCAGTTTATCCTAATTTAAATCTCTATTTAAAAGACAGAAATTTATTTGAATCAGTTATTTGAGGATTTAAACTAATGGTTACAATTTTCTTCCAAGATCTGAAAAATTATGCACCACCACCCATCAATTATGCATCAACTTTAGAAAACAAACTGAATCAGGAAGACACCTCTTCTTCCCCTCAACAGCAGGAAACTATAGCAGAACAGACTAAGGAATGCTTATTTCTTCTTAATTAAATCATAAATCAAAAGTGGTATGTTCAGATTAATTTAGTCATCAATAAGAACTATATGATCAGTAATGCAATCACTGACCTACACCACAAGGTTGTAATTATTATAGCTGACCTACACCACAAGATGTATTATATGAAGAAAACTTTTTCCATACAACAATTTATCATGGAAAAACCATTTATGCTTGGAATATTGACGGTATGTATGAAAAATTAATTTATGAGGTTATTCATAGCATGCTTGTGGTATTGTTTTCAAGAATAATAGAAATCTGGATAAAGATGTTGCCAATTTTCTAATATGTGGTTTTACTGAACATTAAAAGGTTAGTAGGATAATTGTTTAACCACAGCCGAACATCATGAAATCGCTAATGCCAAAAACAGGTTAAATCTAAAATCACCCAACATGTAGAAGAAAAAGGAAAAGTTTATTTATACACTTATCAGTGCAATTCTTCTATATTTTTTTGGTGAACCTACTCAAAACAAAGAAATCAGTAGGGAACGCTTACAATATCTTAAATGTCCATCTGTAACTCATTTTAGATTGGACAAAGATGTATTCTTGGTAAAAGTCATGCAGAGAACATATGCTAATAGTAAGCATTGGAAGGCTAAATTTATTGATGACCTAGTTTTCAGATTGGTTAGGAGGAAGAAGATGAACACAAGGGCATTAATTTCTTTTTGCATTGTTGTTTGACTTCTTTTATATTTTTTTGATGAACCTACTCAAAACAAAAAAAGCAGTAGGTAACGCTTACAATATCTTAGATGTCCATCTTTAACTCATTTTAGATTGTACAAAGATGTATTCTTGGTAAAAGTCATGCAGAGAACATATGCTAATAGTAAGCATTGGAAGGCTAAATTTATTGATGATCTAGTTTTCAGATTGGTTAGGAGGAAGAAGATGAACACAAGGGCATTAATTTCTTTTTGCATTGTTATTTGACTCAGTGACCATTGTTTTTTTTTTTTTTTTTCATGCCAACTCTGAAAATAGACATGTGTAACACAATTTTCATCAATTTAGACAGAATTGTTAGAGGTAGGCAGGTGAAGTGCCAAAAGGACCAAACGCATGCAAAACGGCCAAAACACAAGGTGAAGTAAATTTTACCCAGAAAAATTATAGACACTAGCCAGCTTTAGTTTTTTACATGGATGAAGATAAACAATAACATTCAAAGCCAGCCAATGTCATTTCCAGAGCTAAGTTCATAACTTGAATCAAAATACAGCATACAAGGTTAAGTTTTTCCTACTTAATGCTAAGCAAGCAAGTTTAATTTCAATGATGGAATAGCAAGTTTGCATTTCCACCAAAAGCAAAAAAAATAACTGTTTTTATCCTTTTTACGCATTTATGTTCTGGCAGGCAATCACAAAGTTATTAGAAACATTACCTGGCAAGCCCTGCTGAAGATACTCCAACTGAGACTTCACACCTAAAACCCAAAAACATCATTGAACAAAATGATATGAAAAACAAATCAAACATCAAATATAGATAGAAAAAATTGATCAACCATCCATCTAAAGCAATAACAACAACCTAATCATCCAACCCAGATTAACTATTTGAAACAGGAGAGAGAGTGGTCACAAATTTCAATATCTATTTTAAAAATAAAATAATCTTCAAATAAAGACATCAACCATTCTATCATATCCTCTCTACCCTTGTTCAGACATTTCATCAGTAACCATCAAGATCAAAAAAATAAACAAAAAAATCCCCAGACATAAATTTAAAAAAATTAAATTTTCAAATAGAGAGATCAATTATCCTATCAAATCCCTCCACACCATTGTTCATGCATATATAAAAAAGCAAACCCAGATCAGGAATTGCAAAAAAAGCACAAGCGCACAAGCAAGATCCATAAACAGATAGATATACCTTGTTGGGTACAAAGAATCATTGGGGAATAACTGGTTATAACGCTTATACACAAATCCCTCCTTTTTTCCCATGAATTTGGACTGTCCTCTGCCTGATCTTCAAGAAGATTGAAAGTCATTACAGTTAGAGAAACACTCATTTTTTTCCCCTCTCTTTATATATATCCCTCAATCTCTACATGGGTATCGATGAAGATAGGAAGGAAATGATATAGGATTTCCAAGAAATCACAGGACAAAGTTAAGCAGATGTTTGGTTTGCTTTTGCTTTCTTACTCAGAAGAAGTTGTACAGAGCTTTGTTTCTACTTTGAAAAGCTCAAAAGTAAAAGCAACCAACCCAAGCAAAAACAACTATTATTGTCTGAATTCTGAAAACGGTAAGGCCAGTAGGTTGCCACAGCGGAGACACGTGCCAACTTGAGAATTGTCTGAATTCAATTCAAATTTTTGTAGAGGAACGGTGTTTTGTTTTCCATAAAAAAAATAAACGATTTTTTGTAAATTAAAAATTAAGAATTGAAAATGTTTAATAAACGACATGTGTTGAATTTCACTCAAGTTCATATCAGAAGATAAGAGAACTTGAGGGTATATGAATTTATTATACGACTCATTTTAATTATTTAAATCGTTTATTTTATAAGATATTTTTATGTAAATCATCGAATGAAAATATTTAAATCGATCTAATAATTATAATATTTTTATTTTATTGTGTTTGTCTAAAAAAAATAAATGATATTTATTGTCTATTTTTTTAAAAACAAACATAATAAAATAAAAAAATTATAATTATCGAATCAATCTAATTTTTTAATAGATAACATACAATAATAGTTTAAATTATCAAAACGAAATTTATAATGAGTATCACAAACACCTCAATCTCATATTCATATGAACTTGGGAGCTTGGCTTCATTTTTTTTTTTTTTGTTGAAGGACACTGCTAAACGTTCTATTCTAAAATTTTTAATGCCATTGCTTTAAATTTTAATTTTTTTGAGTTATAAAAACAATATTTATGTCTCTATTTACATGTTCACTTTTTTGTTCATCCTTCTTGGTGAATTTTTTGGCTACCGCAAAATTTTTGACGACTTTTCTAGCATCAACGAGATTTTTGAAAGTTACTAAGGCACCGTTTGGGAAGAGCTAAACTAGGTTTTTTTGGCTATTTTAGTCACAAAAAATAAAATAGGTTATTTTAGCCACAAAAAATAAAATATCGCATTCAACATATAATCATTACACTCTTCTCTCACAAAAAAAGTCAAAAAAAACCAAAAAATCAAAAGTTGTTCCCAAATCAAGCTTTTTAGCCCAAGCTAAAATAGTCAAAAAAGTCAAAAAGTCAAAAAACCAAGCCACTTCCCAAATACAAATAAAAAAATGTAAAGGTAAAATTGTCATAAATTCAGTTTCACCCTATATGTAAACAAAATAAATTATCATTCTAGCATTAAAAGATCTGATATCATCTTTAATACCCCATGTGCTGCTGGCCCAACTTGGATTTAATTTATCCCCTATTCATTCTATTCTTAGTGTTGGGCTTAGAAATTTTTTTTTTATTTATTTTTTTTTTTTTTTGGAGGGGGTGGGTGGGTTTGTTTGTTGGGTGGGTAAGATAACTGTTGTTATTTGAAGGAATCTTAAAAGCTAAATTAAGCTAAATTTGAAACAACTCAAGCTTTGTTTAAAATTTCTTAAACAAATTTTTTTTTTTTTTAATAAGAAAATCGAAAGCAAACAAACTTGTTAGGTTAGGCATGCCTTCCCTATAAAAAAAAAGATTTTAAAAATATATATTTTAATAAATTTGTGAAAAAATAATTTCACCTTCAATACTCTCAAAAAGTTTACAGTGTCCCTGTAAAATCCCGACAATAGTATATGGTAATTTTTTTAATAAAAATCAAGTTTGAAAGATTCTTTTTTTAAATTAATCTTTTAACAATTACCAAACTTATATTTTTTTAGATTCTTAAACAGTATAAAAGCTAAAAAATAATTATCAAACCCCACCTTATTAGATAAAAAATAAATAAAATCATTTTGCTAAAAATATCTTAGTTCATTTGTCAAATTTATTTCTTGCTAAAAAAACACCTTTTTTTTTTTTGGTTATAAGAAAATCCTCCCACTCTCCCATAGGTCTAAGGCAGTGCCACCAAGGTGTACTGCTATCCGTTCTTAGTTAGGAGACTATAACTTGGGAACTTGTCCCGACCTCTCAAGACAATCTCTGTTAAGTCAAGACTTGCATAACAGGGAGTATTGAACCCACACCACCAAGGTGTCCTGTTGAGTTAGGAGACTATAACCTAGAAATTTGCTCCGACCTCCCAAAACAAGCTCCACCAAGGTGTCCTGTTGAGTTAGGAGATTATAACTTGAGAATTTGTTTCAACCTCCCAAGATAAGCTCTACCAAGGTATCCTGTTGAGTTAGGAAACTATAACTTGGGAACTTGTCCCGATCTCTCAAGACAAGCTCCGTTAAGTTAGAACTTACACAGCAGGAGGACATTAAACCTGTACCAAATACTATAATGCTCAGAAAATTAGCCCAAAAAATTTGAACCTACGACCTGAGGACTTAATCCACATACCCTTACCAAGTTACTAACACCCTTGGGTTAACCTACTTTAGTCACCCTAAAAACAAATCATTATAAAAGGTTTCAAAAACTAGCATGTGGCAAACTAATGCTTTAACTTTTTATTTTATTTAATTGCACATGATGAAGTGACTGGATTCTTAAACAAATCATTATTCAAGGTTTCAAAAACCAGCATGTGGCACACTAATGCTTTAACTTTTTATTTTATTTTAATTGTACATGATGAAGTGACTGGATTCTTGAGGCCATCCATTTAAAATAAGGGTTATTTATCCAGAAATTTCCTAAATTATAAAATTATATAAATGAATCTGTTAAATTATTAAAAAATATCACTTTATCCCCTATATTATAAACACTTTGTCCCTTAAACTATAAAAACGTATAAATGAACCCCTTTGTCCCCTCAATCCCCTCAATAATAAAAACATACAAATAGACTCAATAAACTATAAAAATATATAAATTGAATCTCCAAAGGGGTCAAAATAAAATACAACAATAACTTAGAGAGTTCATTTATACGTTTTTATAGTTTATTGAGTCTATTTATATGCTTTCATTATTGAGGGGACAAAGGAGGTCCATTTGTACATTTTTATAGTTTACGAGATTAAAGTAATACTTCTCAATAATTTAGGTTGTCCATTTGTACGTTTTTTATAGTTTACGATATCAAAATAATATTTCTCAATAGCTTAGAAGGTCCATTTATATATTTTTATAACTAACGCATCATACTTCTCAATAATTTAGAATATCGCCGTGTAAATAACCTTGAATCAAGCACCATTAATATAGCTCGTAATTACAAAAATCACATTACCATACTATTTCTCAGAGTTTCAAGAAAAAAACCCAGTTAATGTGCATATATCCATTAACATATATCCATTCCACAAACCCTTTAGAATAAGGAAAAGGAACATCAAATAATCATAATTCACTGAAGCAAACTCTGAACAACTGAGCTCATCGTTACATTTCATTCATAATGGTTTTTATTTTAATAATTCTTATTTGAATAATTCACGATCTCACTGCACCAAACGAACCCCCCCCCCAACACACAATTAAGATTCTCCTTTGATCATGTCCATCTGTTGGGATGTCGTTTTGCCACTCAACTGTAAATTTTACACTGTAATCAAGAAGAGTTTTTCATAACCCATTCAACCAGAGTTGAAATGCCGAATCCTGTTGCAAGTCTCTTTTTATCACTTGCGACGGGGCCAGCCATGTCAATGTGCATCCATTGAACCTTCTCACTAACAAACTGCAAAAAAAAAAAAAGGTCACAATGTCAAATTTTCTTAGGCTACTACAAACCAAGAAAAACTTTGCATGAACATAAGATACTCGAACACTTTTAAGAAGATGATGTGTCTATATCGGACACGTGTTGCACAGCGACAGTTGTTGGACACTTCCTGACACACGTCAAACACACATCCAAACATATTATTTTTTAAAGTTCTTTAGTCCTAGGCTCGCATCAGAAACTTGGTGATACACATGCCCACTGTTTAGACACATGAAAATAATTTGGGATTCAATGGTAAAAGAAAAACAAGGTAGACACATCATCTTCAAGGTAGGCACATCATCTAATTAAACCCACCTCCTTTATAAGACTTTAAGAATTAGTATTTATGTTCAATTGTTTTATATCTTGAATGAAATATATATACATATAAATAATAAATAAAACTAGATATTTAGAGCATGTTTCCAATGTTTTATGTCCTCTATTTTTTTAAAATTGTTGCATCATTGTGCTTGTGTTATACCCGTGTCGTGTAGCGTGTCTACACTTCTTAGCAAACAAGCATCAGAGTGCTACAACTTTTATGCGGTCTCCAAGTGATTGATAAAGTTAAAAAAATAAAATGGCATTGGGATTTTGTGAACCGGTTGCAGCCTTAAATTCAGGCAGAACAAATATTCTCAATTTAGTTTCTCCACGAGTACATTTTGCATCAAAGATATTTGACAACAGAAACAGATTTATGCACACAACAAGAACTAAAATATGTTGAAACTTGCAAGAAACCCATCAAGAATCAAGCAATTGATAAATTACAAAAAATATTACCCTTATCGCCCTTTCCTTCCCCGCCAAACCCCTCCAAAAATCTCAACTTCTAACCACACTACGTATAGGAAACAAACAAGTAAATTGTCTTGATGCAATGTAGTGTGTAGCATGCGAGTCATGTAAGCCATTACACAATATAATTAGATATTTGCATCTACACCCTCCGTCTAATTTTGATAGTCCTTTTAGAAATTCTAACTTTTTTAGGGGACATATAATCATTGCATTTGAATTCAAATTTTAGAGCAATTATTCCAATAATGCGCTTCTGTTTTTCAATTTTTAATATATTTCTAACTATTTAAAAAGGGTAGTTTTGGAAAGCTAAATATTTTTTACTTTACTTTTCAAATAGGACTAACATTTTGGGACATCCTAAAATGGGAAAAAGGACTAACAAAATGGGACAGAGGGAGTAATTTGTAATTTACCATGAAGTACTAAATAGGATTATAGTTCAGGGTCATGACATTATGCCCAATTGACCACGAGTTTGAGTGTTCAATAATAAAGTTGTGACACTGCAACACCTTTGAACTATGGGTCTTGTCCTTTTTCATGAAGCTCTGCTATAGGATTTTCTTGCAAATCAAAACCATTATGACTCAACTAGTAAAAGCACGCAGATAGATGGATAAGGCCCTATACCTGTTTCAAGAAAAGGGCTGCAGTGATGGCACCACCTTGACGACCACCAGTGTTGACCATATCAGCAACTCCGGATTTCATGGACTCCCAATAACTTTCCTCCAAAGGCATCCTCCAAAGCTTTTCCCCAGCAACCTCTGAAGCTGCAAGTACCTCCTTTGCAAGGTCGTCACTAGGCGTAAAGACACCTGTTTATTAAACATAAGATATCGATCAAGAAAAGATGGTCAGATGACGACTCAAAAGTTTTAGAATTGTTTGCCATTTCTGTCAATGAGTGTGAATGCCACATGTAAGTTATCATATCAATGGGGCATTGACCAGCTAAAAATAATCCCAAAAGAGAACCCAAAAAAGTTCAATTCTTGTCCCTGAGACACTATTCCAATAAAATTCCCCAAGTCCATTAAGTAATGTGTTAATTACACAAATGGTCCCAAAAGTATATGTTCTGTCACACTCTAGTCCCTAATCTTTTAGTTCCACTTTGGTCCCCAAACCATGAAATCTGTTACACTTAGTCTATGTCGTCACTGCTATTCAAAATTAGTAACAAGAGGAGATGTATTTTTTACATGAAACCTCAACAAAAACTGAATGACCAAATACACACATGGTCTCAAAGTATGCATTTTCAGCATTTGGTTATTAAAATATGCAATTTGTTTTATTTTAATCTCCAAGATATGCACTTTCTTAAATTTTCATCTTAAATCTTTTAATTTTTTTGTTGTTTTTTTTGTTTTTTGTTTTGTTACCCCTCCTCCTGTTGCTGATTTTGAATGATGTTGATGCTAGGGACCTAAAGTGTAACAAATCGCATACTTTGGGTCTAAATTGTAACAGAATGCATACTTTGGGAACTACTTGTGTAATTTATCCTCGAGTAATTGTGCAAATTATTCATGGCTATCCCATCTACAGGGGTCCGATAATCCAATTCAACTCCAAAAAATTACATAATGATATCATACGTTTTCTTCTAAAACATACATCATTTTTTTAACAGTCCATAACATTCATTTGTACTCCTACTGATGATCATCTTTGGTTTTTTCCTGATGAGGTCACAATATATTCCAGCATAATTCTCAAAACTAAACTGATTCCTAGCAGGGGCATTAATTCATTATTCCAAATCAATGAAGAAATTTTGTAAATGCAGATACCTGCAATTGAGGGCCCAAGAGCAACCACACATGCCCCAGTTAATGTTGCTAGATCAACTATCTGCAAAACAATTGAACATAGTGTCAGCACAGCTCTGAAATTAAAAACTGGACATTTTAAAGATGGAACAAATGCTTAGAAAAAGGGTGATAAAAATGAACCACTGTGTTTTGTGAAATATAAAATTCTTAAATGGCCTGACTTCCAAGCTAAGAAGCACGCACGCGAGCACAGGCACGGGACACAACAAGAACACAGTGACACAAATTTTCAAAAAATGTATAACACAATAGTTGAGGGACACACGCAAAATATGTAGTTATATATATTCATTATATAGGGATGAAAATTGGTTCAATGGTTAAGACTTGGCCTAATTACCTGGAGTTTATATGTTCAAGTCTTGAGACCACCATTTTGCGCATTATGCTAAAGGTTAGGTGTATACTCAATCTTTCCCCTTCCAAACGCACATTAATGTGCACTAATTGAGCGTTTTTTTTATTATTATATAAATATTCATTATATGCCATATATAAGGATAAACAATGATTATATGTCATTTATTTGAATATTTAATTCAAATATAATAATTTTTTAAGTCTAGAGGTAGAGAATGCATATAAATTTACATTATTTTTCTTTTATCATTGAATTCCAAGTTGATATTCAAAGTTGAATGTGTTTCATGTGCGTCGAAGCAATAGAAACATGTGTTCTTTGCCTGTCTTTTTAAGCATGCCTGAGTCTAGAAAAATTTTAAAAATAGTATGACATGTGGCTGGGAAGTATCCAATGAATGTCAAGTAGTGTCGGTGTCTAAACACAATGCAGCACCTTCTTAGAAGTGTCTGCATTCTTAGCCTCCAAACCATCCCGCCTTCCCCTTAAAGCAATAGAGAATATATATGTAAATATGGTACTGAATTTAGATAGTACCTTCTCTACACCTTGGTTACAGGCATATACCAGAGCATCCGCAAGTGTAAGTCTGCCTTCAGCATCTGTGTTGTTGACCTGCAATACATTGAATCAAATCTTTCCATTAATAAATTAATTCCTAAATAGAAGTTCATAATGCAGCAAGTACTCTATGAGAATTAAGAAAATATGACAATAAGAATCTGTAAAACTTATTCTGTTAGTGATACAAGGACAGCTTATCCAACGAAATTAGATGGTGATAGAAAATTTTTGAGTCATTTAAATTGATTATTTAGGGGTCCACTTGGAAGTATGATTAGAGAGTGATTTCTTGCCTATCATTGCTGCATTATCTTCTTCACAAGACTCACAAGGGCGAGAGTTGCCAACTACCAAACCCCGTCCTCAACCTCTTTGGTAAAAATATTCTAATCTACCATGTAAATTTGAATCGTTTAAACTGATTATTTAGGGATCCACTTGGAAGTATGATTAGAAAGTGACTTCTTGCCTATCGTTGTTGCATTATCTTCTTCACAAGACTCACAAGGGCGAGAGTCACCAACTACCAAACCCATCCTTAACGTCTTTGGTAAAAATAATCTACTCTACCATGTTTCTCTCTATATTTCCACTTGTCTCAATATTCTTCTCTTTCCATGCTTTAAGCCTCCATAGATTTATACCCGTAAGATGAAAAAATAAAGGTCATTCCATTTCCAACACCCTCTAAAGTTTCATTCTCTCTCTATGGTAAGGTATTCGCACCAGTAAACAATAGCACGACCACATAGAAGAAAAGTTATTGCTACACATTACCTCAAGTTAAAGTGTATAGTATGAACAAAAGAAGAGAGAATTAAACGAATAGGTTTAGGTTAGCTAACTAGGCCGCATAGTATTTATATTAAAAATAATAAAAGACATTGCATGACAAGAGTACCCTCATCAGTAATGACACAATACTAACCAAGACTCTAATACGCTAACACCTCATAATCACCAACAAGAGTCACCTACAAGTAATCAAATCTCAAATATGACATTCAAAGCCAAAATGGAAATTCCATTATGCTTATTGTTAATGAACATATTAATCTTGCACAAAACAACAAAGACAAAACTGACATCCCAACAACTTCACTGCAAGAAATATACTAGTACTGTGACTGGAGAGGCTTCATGCCAATTTGCCTCAGGTCATCTCATTCTCTAATAATTGCATTAGAGAGTTGTGGTAGGAGATATAATAAATGGTCTTTTAAAGTCAGCATTTGATGATGCACCTTGGCTCATTTCCCAACCCATAGGATAAAGCGATCTCTACTCAACCTTGGGGCTAGTGTGAATCTCTTTGCCTTATTCGGTTTATGGACAATTGTGTATAGGAGAGCTTTGTTAGAATAGGGAATAATATTTAATATTAGTTGCATTTTATTCTTGTTTTACTTTCTTGATTGATGTAATGGGCTGACCCATAAATTATGCCTTATGGCACTCCTGTAATTACTTATTATTATCAATATAAAAGGGGATGAGGTCTAACTCAATCCCTAACTCTTTCTCTTCTCTTAACCTACATGGTATCAGAGCCATGCCCTAGCTCCCTAGCCCAGCCGTCACTACTGTTCGTATTTGCCTCCCCAGCACCCGAAACAACCTTGTAACTCACCTAGACCAGTCGACAGCCTCTGTACATCACCCCACCAGAGCCAACAGCCCTCCTACACCACTCCACCAGCGCCGACAGTCCCACTACACCACAGCACTAGCACCGACAACCTTTTTTCACCTCCTCACCAGCGTCGCTAGGTTTTTTTTTCTACTTCCCTTACCCTCGACAAGCTTCTCCAGGCCCTGTCGAGGGTCTTCCTCTCGACACCTAGCCTCCTTGCTGGTCGGGTGCCATTCAACTGCCTCTTTAAGGGTCGTCGGTGTTGCTGGGCATGACGTAAGGGTTGTTCAGCATCGTCTCTTGGCCCTGTTCTCCTTACTTATGTATTACCTCTAAAAAAAAAATAAAAAAAAATAAAAAAAAAGAGAGTACAATTATGCTTTTTTAATTATTTCATATTCTTTGTGGTCATTGTGCTTGTATCCCTCTATCATCTTTCGGGTTTGTGATTAGTGCTAGTTTTTTGTTGTGGGTTGGGTAGTAGTGTCTCTGTCATAACCCGAACCCGCGCCCCATGGGTTAAGGACAGAACCGGCTAGTAATCACGAGATTACCTACGGCCTCAAATCAAATAAGACATAACTCATCAGAGTAAAGGGGTCAAACAGAAGCAAATTTAAAACTTTGTCCTTAGAGCTGTGCTTATATGGCACGTCATAACAACCCATACATATATATGTTAATAACTCACATCAAAATATGTACTAACACAAAGTTCTGTACATACAGGATCATTCAAGTCTAGGTCAGCCAATCAAAACTATATACAACCGTAAACCAAAGTTCTCGCCAACATGACAAAATATAGCAAACTAGCAAAAGGCGAAAACAAGTCTCGTGCGTGAGACGCATGGCTGACTCTTCAAAACCTTGGTTGTTCTCACAAACTTCACTGAGGTTGGGTTTGGACCTCCCTTGGCTCACCTATACACACATGAATGAGCGTGAGCAAAAACCCAGTGAATAATATCAAATACGGAAAATACACGAACAATATTTAGAACAACATGCACCAACGGCCTTGGGCCCAATTCACATTTCTGTCTAGTATATATATATATATATCAATTAACTGCGGGTTCAAACACATCAGACGACCTCGAGCCCAATCCGTTCATGTCAAACGACCTTTGGCCCATTCATTCTTCCATTCATGTCAGACTGGCCTCTAGCCCATTCATCAACTTGAGCTCTCTCTCTCTCTCTCTCTCTAACCGACCCTCACTCCCTCTCTTTAAAATGATTCTCAGCTTTGAGCTCAAACAAATGAAATTAAAGTGCAGTAGAGTCCCTTATACAAGCCCTCTCTCAACACATTTCATTAATATTTAAATAATTGAGCACTAACCCATTAATTTAATCTAATTAATTTGATCCGACTCAATTTTCAATTAAATTTCACCGTAGGCTCTAAAAATTACGCTAATCACAATGGCGTAGTCAATTTCGGTTTTTGTGGCCGATAAGGCCCTCAATTTAAATTTTGAAGCAGATAATCAAACAGATTTTCCTACAGTGAACAGATAGAAATTCAAAACCAAATATATTCATATAAATGGCACACAAAATCATATCAAACACATAATCATACTCATAATAATGACCAATTAGCATAATACGGAACAGGGTTATCACAGTCTCCATGGCAGATTCTACCAATGTGTCCACTACTTCTCAGACACCTAGAAGTGAGAGTTGCATTATACCTACTACTGTGACTGATAATCCCAACCCTAGCCTTAAAATCACCACCTCTCTATTCAATGGTCAGAACTATCTAGCGTGGTCGCAGAGTTTGACTATTTTCTGAAGAGCGGAGAGAAGAGGGGGTATATCGATAGCAGGATACAGGCACCCAGCACTGTGGACCCGAGTTATGATTAGTGGGAGGTCACCAACTCCCTCATCATGGGTTGGTTGATCCACTCTATCGTCCCTGAGATTGGAGAGGGCTACTTGTCTATGGACACTGCCCAGGATATTTGGGAGGTTGTAGCTACTACTTACTCCCGAAAGGGGAACTTCTCTCAGGCTTTTGAATTACGTCGCTCCATTGAAAGGTCGGTACAAGGTGAGATGACTATTCTTCAGTATTTTACTTTCCTTAGCAATGGATGGAAGCGACTTGATCACCTTCAAGATTACAAACCTATCTGTCCCACTGATTCTGTTGGTTACCGGAAGTTTGTGGTACAAGAGCGGGTCTTCAAGTTCTTGGAAGGCCTAAATGTGGAGTATGATCCGGTTCGGAGCAGGGTACTTGGCATGGATGTGCTTCCTTCTCTCCAGGAAGCCTTTGCTTTTGTGCAGAATGAGGAGAGTCGCCGCTCTGCGATGCTTCCTTCTGCTACTACTAATCGCTCAGCCTTGGTTTCTGCACCTCCTCGCGATGGCGACCGTGTGACTCCTGGTTCTCGTCCTTCCTCTGAGAAGGATAATCTTTACTGTGATTATTGTCGTAGACCTCGCCACACACGAGAGACTTGTTGGAAGCTGCATGGCAACCCCTCTGGTGGCCGAGGAGACCGTCCTGGTATTCGAGGAGGTCAGTCTGGTCAGTCTAGAGGCCGAGGGGCCAATGCACGGGCACATCTTTCAGACACTGTTGAGTCATTATCTTCATCTCCGGTTCTCTTGTGCTGTTGATGTTTCAGGGTTATCTGCCTCAGATTTTGAGATTGCTCTTCGCCACTTGCTAGACCGTCGAGCCTCCACTTCTGCTACAGGTGCATCCTCTTCTTCCTTTGCCAATTCAGGTAACTTGGCTTCCTCCCCATATGCATTGCTCTCTCATATGACTGTCCCATGGATTATTGATTCTGGTGCTTCCGACCATATGTCTGACTCTTCTAATTTATTTTCAGAGTATAACCCCTCATCAGGTCAGGAAAAAGTGCGTATTGCAGATGATACCATTTCGTCTGTGTCAGGGAAAGGTTTAATTCATGCCACCTTTTCCCTTCCTTTGTCTTCTGTTCTCCATGTTCCCAATTTCAGTGTTAATCTTTTATTTTTGAGTTGTATTACCCGTGATTTAAATTGTAGCGTGACATTTTTCCTGATCATTGTCTTTTTCAAGACCTTATCACGAGGAAGAGAATTGGCAGTGGTAGAGAGGAACATGGGCTCTACATTCTGGACCAGCCCGACAAGCTGACTCATTCATCTATTCAGTTACCGTCCACCAAGGAAGACATTTGGCTATGGCACCGTCGCTTAGGACGTCCCTCTTTTTTATTACTTAAGCATTTATTTCCCTCTGTTTTTAAGCAAAATAATGTGTCCGATTTTCAATATGAGTCTTGTCCACTTGGCAAACAACACAGAGCCTCTTTTGCTCCTTCTATTAATAAAATTTTAGTTCCGTTTTCTTTGATTCATTCTAATGTATGTGGTCCTTCCCGTTTTGTGTCTTTAACCGGTCACAAATGGTT